AAACAGGTGCTGCTAATAAACCTGCTTGTTTATATGAGTTTAAATGAGCTGGGATGTAGAGTCAGAAACCAGAACCATTCTATTCACCTGAATTGTTGAGACTGTTTAATTCTGCTTTCTGGGTTTCACATTTTTTCAGGTGGGCATGTTGACTGTATTTGGAGCGCGACCTGATTGGCTGGTTGAGCGGAGCTGTTTTGACTGATTCATATGGTGAGACACTTCAAAACAAAAGTCTTTTAGGTAGAAAAAACAATCTGTTAAATATAAATTTGTAACAGGTGCCAATGTAATATGCTGAAAACAGTCATGTTAGCTACAGTAACAAGCCTATGGAGTGTTTGACAGTGAGTCTTATTCCGAAGAAAGAGCCAAGAAAGTCTGAAGAAAGCGAAAAGGCCGCTGGTAGGAAAGAATGAGCGTGGATGAGAGCTCATAACATACTGATGGACACCTTTGCGCCATCTGCTGGTCAAAATGAGGTACAACATTCTGCAGCTGATATTTGCATTAAAGGGGTCTAAGGGATTAAAGATCATTATTTGGTGTATTTGGTGTAACAGAATATGTTGACATGCTTTAATGTTCAAAAAACACATTATTTTTCAAATACTGTACATTATTGTAGGTCCTCTATGCCCCGCCTCTCTCAAACGCTTCGTTTTCTACAATATTTCCACATAGTGAGGTAGATATGTGGGGGCGTGTTAGAACGAGCCGTTTTAGGGGGGCGTGGCAGAGTCTTAACTTTGATAAAGAATATCTCTTTGGTTTTGAGACTTTAGTCTTTGCAACTTCAGGGATCTTATCTATGCACAATCAGCTTGTAACACTTCAAAGAGAAAGGAAAACTTGAAATCGCATCATATGACCCCTTTAAACTAGATTGTTCCATTGTAGTCCTAAAACCTACTAAAATAATAATAATCATCCATTTGTACTTATAAAAATGATCTTTATTTTATATTAGACATCAAATATGCTAATTTTATCATGTTATGTAACACAAATATGTGGAAAACATAATTCAAGAAACAAAAGCAACCTTGTTCTGTTTTGAATTTTATTTTTTTCTATAGGGACATAATGAATTGCATGTTCACAAACTTTTTAAAAGAGCAAAAACTAAACTGAATATAGATGCTAAAAATAAATAAACACTGGAAATGAAAACTCTCATCCACAAATGAAATAATTGAAAAGCTGGAGGAAAGTGCATTTTGATTCTTATGACAGGTTATGTTATCTGACATAATATATTTACAAGCAAACAGAATTCAAAAACACAAAAAAGAGGGTTGTGGGGTTGTACATGGTTTTGGGTTTAAGGTTGACATATTCCCATATATACCCAGAGAACAAACACCGTTGATGTCCTGAGTTTTCATGTGATCTCAATTCTGCTCTGCAGAAACAGATAAAAATGTCCTGAGAGGTCTCAGATGGGATATCATAACCCCAGGATATGCAGTTAATACTAGCTTAATATAGAAAAGGGAAAATCAGATCAACAATGATATAAATTCCATATGCAGTACATTGGGAACGGATCATGTCTCTATATAAGTAAACTCTGGAATGATGAGGAAGAATTGGTCTAGGATTACAAGGCACATCACTATTGTTAGATAAGAAAATCCAAACAATCTATTAAAACATCTAATTAAACAGTTTAGCCAGTGACAGTCCAAATGATTAACTGCAATTCAGAGAACCAGTGACAAATGGGAAGTCATTCTGTAAACAATTTTTAAGAAATAGAAAATGAAAACTCTATTCACTCACGCTCCGATCAATCCAAACCCATATGACTTTCTATCATCCGTAGAACTCAAAAGTTATTTAGAAATAATGTTTAGCCCACTTTTTCCATACAAAAATGTCCAGCAAAACCCAAAAGTATCATAAAATATATCAATTAAATTTCAGTGACAAACTATCGAAGAAAGAAAGTCATAGTGGTTTTTAATGACATAATGTAAGGTTGGGTAAATTTTAACAGAATTTTCATTTTTGGTGAACTATTCTAATCCGTTTCTTTATTTCAAACACTGCAGATATAGCTATTTCTCAAACGGCAGAGATTTCTGTAAACCCTAGACATCATTTTTGTAAAAATGCATATGCTCAGACATACGTTCACCCTGCCATGCAACAACTTGCATATTTTTCTGTATTTTTAAATCTAAAACAAAAGTTGTGAACTGAGCTCAGAAGCAGCTCTGGAAAATAGATGCTGCAGCCTGAGGAATAATGACCTCATATCTTCCCTGCAGCCAATCAGGACACAGCGTGAATTCAGCCACTGCTGACTCACTTCCTGTCCGTGGGCCGTGGCTGCAGTTCTAGAGGAGAAAACTTTACAGTTCTTCAGTGCCTGTATTCAGTGCAGTGGATGAAAGCATTTATGGACAAAACAAATACAACAGAGTAGAAAAGATAGATTTATAGAAAAATAACTAAAAGCATTCAGTAAGGCTGTATTTTTTTTTTACTTTCACACGACTGATATGATGATTAGTAAACATGAATTCTCATTTACACTCTCGAACCATCAAATCTCAGCACTGTTTATGTGTCAAAACTGAGAAGTGTATGTGGCATGGCTTTGAAATCGCTCTTCTTAAGCAGGCATGACAACGATTTCAAAGCGGAACTAGCACCATAACCTGACCAAACTGAAGCAGAGTATGTTTAATTTTTCCAAATGCTGTTACATCTCACGCACATTCACACACTACATACTACAAACGTAGTAGCCTTTTCAAATTGTACTCCATTGACCATAATACTGTTGCTTTGTAATACTTCCCTTGACCTGTAGAGCACAGCAGAGAGTTGTGACTCTGGATTCCCTACTCTGAAGTTCTGTACAAAAAATAAGTAGCTACGATGCCTAAAGATATTGCTATACTCTTTTAAACAAGTTGTACAAACATGGGTACCTTCTGTTTCCTCACAAAGCCATTGGGTTGTTTCCACTTTCAGTGTCTGTAGTATTTCCTGCATTTTCCACATTCTTTTACCCATTCTTTACAACAGTTTATCTATGAGACTTGACATCTAGTGGACTCACCAGTTAGTGCACAAAAATTGTGTAGACCCCACGAATGGTTGAAATTTACATCATGCACATTGAAATCAAAACCAAAATATACTTTCAGCATAATTCTTATTTGACTGTTATGCTGTCAATTACCACAGAAAATACGTTCTTAATAAGCACTTGCAGTGAAAGTCTATGGGATAATGTATTGCAAAGTGTTTACATTTGAAAGGTGCTGGTTGAATATTTGTTAAAGCACTTATATCAATTAAAACGTATGTGTGATGAGTGGGGCGGGGTGGGGCGGGGCCGAGAGCCGTGGGAACGGAGCGAGGCCGGTGGAGTAATTGATAATGGCTGCCCGAGGCGGTGGTGCTGGAACGATGGAAGACGAGGATGGGTGGCTGCCGTCCGAGAGGGAGCGGAGGAGTCGGCCCCGTTCGCCAGGAGGCCGAAGCCTGCTGCCATCCATCATGATTGGGGAGGAGCAGGGAATGGGGGACTCGCTGCCGGCTGCCCTCAATAGGAGGAGCCATCGCCGTCTACCAGGAGGCGGAGGAGCGTTGGGCCATCCACCAAAGATGTCCAGTACCATCGCATGGCACCGCGAATGAGAGCCTCTCAGCCGGTTGAGGACCAAGCGGCAGTGTGTCCGGGAACCGGACCGAGAATTTTTTCTTTTCCTCTCTCCCCTCTCTCGTATCTGTCTCTCCTCATCCTTCTGTCTCCTTTTCTCTCGCCTCGTCTGTCTGTCCTTACCCCCAGGTATGCCGCGGCCGCCGTGATCGGCTCCCCCGGAGGGGGGGAGTAGAGCGCAGTCTCGGGAGTACCCCCCGGCCTGCGAGGGGCGATGGGGGTATGTGA